GTATCAACATCATGGCGCGGGGAGTCTGAGGACATCACTGAAAATGGTCATCGTGAAGGGAGATCGTTCTGACTTGGGAAACTTGGCGATCAGCGCCAACTCCCGACCTAGCCTTCAAGCCTAGAGTTTACTGGTCTTGGCGAAGCGCAAAAATGGCACCATACCAAGTTTGACGAAGACGAATAAATTCGAAATTTTCAATGTATTTGCGATTCTCTTGAACGCTGCGAGACGAGGAATGTCCATTTCATGATCTATCCATTTCAATCTATTTATTCTACTCCGTCATTGTTCCTGCGAGAAGTTGCTGCGGACTCACTCGAGGTCGATGGGATCAATGCGAAAAATCTCTGAGACCTACTTCTGAAGGCGCGCCTCTGCCCAGGGAACTGTTCCTCGGTCTGACTTACTAAGTCAGGCACCTTTCAATTGCGAACCGCATAATCGACGGATTCAACTTTTATCTATTTCTTGGAGCGTGACCGTTGGTGACGCGAGGTGTTGACCACAGGTTGTGAATCACTCAATACACGCCACCTGACGCTTGAAAGATCCATTTCCAGCAGCGTCTTGTCTAAAGACGGCACTGGAATCGCTGGTAGAGATTGTCGTCAAGATTTGATTTTCTCGATGGAAGTCCGTGCTTGATGCGAGCGTGCCATATGACCAGCGAAAAAGATTCATTCACAGAGGGGATGCTGCCTTCAAGTAAAAATCCTCTGACGGGACGATGGGACGCGTTCTCCACTCCGCATGTGTATTATGAAGAAGAAGAAGCCCTGGGTGAACCGTCATGCATCACTAGAGAATGGGAGTCTGGAGCCAATTCGAATACACGAAGGTATGCGTCTTCGGACTATCGTCACGGGAATCTACTGAACCAGACAAGAACTACTCGCATGAAGCTAGGTGGAGCACTTATTATTTCTCTCTTCGAGTTGAGACGAATCAGGGAGGTAAATGAATATCAACTGTGAGGCGAGTCATTGTGGGTGTAAGTGTGTGCGATTCGATAGCGATAGCTCGAGA